CTCTCCATGGATGTTTTGTACGATCTTGAAGACACTCTCCATGGATGTTTTGTACGATCTTGAAGACACTCTCCATGGATGTTTTGTACGATCTTGAAGACACTCTCCATGGATGTTTTGTATGATCTTGAAGACACTCTCCATGGATGTTTTGTATGATCTTGAAGACACTCTCCATGGAAGACTCATATGGTCAATGTATTTTCTTTATAGCAGACTCATTTTTTCAATTTGTTTTTATTATATTAAGAAAAGCAGCCTGTACCTTGTGTCAAACTTGCATTACTTCTAGATATAATATTTACATTCATTTACAACATAGTTTATTTGTATGAACCTCATTCTTCTGTGTGAACCAGACTCATCATAAGATTAATGTGTGTAAGGTTGAACTGACATGTTTGTAGTTCAGGGTAAAAACTAATAGTTTGTGTTAGCTAAAAGTTACAGTGACTTACGATCGTTTGATGTAGACAGTCAAGAGGCAATGAAGAAGAAGTTCGTAGTTATGTCGACCAGCTCCTTTCTAGATCTTTGATCAAGTGTCTTGGTGATAAAAACTATACAAGAGTTACTCAGAATGATAAAGGTAAACAGTTTTATTGATTTATTTAACTTAACATTATTTATTAGTGCTGAGGTTATTGTTTGTATTAATAGCTTTATCTACTTTCTTTTGACTAGTATATTTCATACATGAGAAATGATAAGATTGGTGGTATTACATATTTAACAAAACTGTTGGAAATTGACAGTTAAGGAGACAGTATGTTTGTTTTTTTAAACTAAGAGAATGAGTAACTAGAAAAGTTAATACAATTTTTTCACTTTAGCAACATCATAATGTAAGCTATCTTTTGTTTTTGTAGTTTTCCTACTACATAAGGTTTCACTAAAATAATTTTCATAAAATCTCAAGTCATTTTCTTACATTTTTTTAAGGTTTGCATATTGATATTGTAAAGGGTAAGATAATCGGGACTCTATAAAGATAACTCACAAGTAAAAGAAACAATTCTGTAATTTAGAAGTTTACAGTAAAATTCATAGAAATTTGACCTGCATTTAAAACTGGGGAAATTGTCTGATTGTTTAACATGTATAACCTAACTTGTTTTGTTAGATTAAGGAAAGTTTACTTTCCTGAAGTATCCATGTTATCTACTATAATAATTGTCATAAGGGCCTTTCAAGTTCATTAACATGATATTTCAGTTGTTCCATTATTCCTGAAAGGAGTGTAAGAAAAGATAGTTAACATTATAATTGTTATTGTAATATTAAGTTACATTGGATGTAGATTTGCAAGTAATTTTGTAAAATAAATTCTTTGTTTCATGTCGGCCTGACATGCCTAATGGTTATGGTGCTTGACTCGCAATCTGATGGTTGTGGGTTTGAATCCCCATCACTAAATGTGCTTGCCCTGCCATGAGGGTGCTATAATGTGACTGTCAATCTCACTGTTCATTGGTAGGTAGTGTTGACTAGCTGCCTTCCCTCTAGTCTTTCATTGCTAAATTATGGATGGCTAGTGCAGAGAGCCATCAAGTAGCTTTACACCAAATTCAAAACAAACCAATTGTTATATGCCTTGTTTATGACGTGTTTAACTCTATAGTTTTTTGGAATGATTGAGATGAGTAATTAGTATTACTAATGGTATAATTATTCGGGCTATTATTCTTGTCTTTATTATGTGTATTATTATTTTCACAACATTTTGACCAGTAAATTTACCATGCATCGTCAGGTGTTATGTTAGACATTTTTGTATGGGTCACAACCAGTAAGCTTTTTGTGGAATTACCAGGATTTGAACCCTGGAACCTATAATCCAGAATACAGGCACTCTAAGCACTTGGCTATCAGGAGGACACTTTTAAGATGTTTTGGAAGTACCTCTATTTTTTTATCTCTAGTATCTTTTTATCCCAATTTTTTTTAAATTCCCGGGAGCCATATCAGGCTTATGTATATACTTGGCTTACTGATGGGATTGGTAGTTAATGCTATGTGTGCCACTTCTTGATCTTCCTTCTATTCCAATGTGGCTCCAATTCCTGGTCAAGATAATCAGTCTCCTGAATGGGAAGTCATCCTCATACATGAAGAACTCCACCCATTTCATCTTCTTGATCAAGGATATGTCCATAACATCTGGCATAAAAATGGTTAACTTCGACATTGTGAGCCTATTCACCAATGTACCAACAGTGGAGGCCTTAACCATAGTAAGGAACAGACTATAAATGGATGACACTCAACTAGAAAGAACTTGGATCCCAACTGATAACATCATGGAGTTACTCATATTCTGTGTAACTACCACAGCCTTCCAGCTAGATGGTGTGTATTAGCAACAGACAGAAGGGATGGCTATGGACTCCCCATTGTCACCTGTGATTGCCAACATCTGTGTGGAATACTTCAAGGATCTACCATTGGAAGCTACACCTCTCATACTGGCAGTGTAGCTTTGATATTTTGACAACACGTTTGTCCTATGGCAACATCAAAAGGACATAACATCATTCCTGGACCATATCAACAGTGAACTCGACCATCTGTCCAGTTCACCATGAAAACAACAATACACTACCATTCCTAGAAGTCTAAATGGAAAGAGGTGCAACTGGTTTCAAGACATCTGTGTACTATAAACTAACAGTCATGCCATCCAGATAACTGGTTTCAAGACATCTGTGTACTATAAAACAACAGTCATGCCATCCAGATAACTGGTTTCAAGACATCTGTGTACTATAAACCAACAGTCATGCCATCCAGATAACTGGTTTCAAGACATCTGTGTACTATAAACTAACAGTCATGCCATCCAGATAACTGGTTTCAAGACATCTGTGTACTATAAACCAACAACCACCAGTAACTACCTCAACTTCAAATCACACCATTCAGATACTGTTAAGAAAGGCATCATGAGATGCCTACAATATCATGCAAATGTCATCAGCACTGATAACACAATAAGAAAACAAGAAATGGACCAGTTAACAAAGACATTCCAGAGAAATGGATACATGAAAGCTTTCATGGAACAGAAACACAGAGGACATAACGAACAACAGGCACAACTCCAAGAGAAACCAGTAGGAACTGTGTCACTTCCATACACCAGAGACCTAGCAGAGAAGCTATGGAGAATGTCTGGATGATACATCAGGACGATCTTCAGAAGTAATCCAACACTTCAAAAAACACTCATCAAAATCAGACCACTGACATCTAAGCAAAAAAAGAACTGTGTGTATGACATTCCATGCAACTGTGGTAGATCATACAAAGGAGAAACAGATCATCTTCTGTCTGTCAGATTGGAAGAGCATAGGAAGGCAACCATCTGGGGTAAGATCGAAAAGTCTGGCATAGCAGAACATGGATAATCTGCTAATCACAGGGAACTATATATAGAAAAAAATATTAATTAGCAGTAAAAACCTTTTGGTTATTACATAAATTATGGATTAATAAAATGTTTGGTGTGTTTCTTTCTATTATGAATTTTATTAAAGTGCTTACTTTAAAATTGTCTTTTTCCTTCCTTTGTAAATTATGTAAAAGTTTTTCCTTCTTTCTTCTAATAAAGCTTGTAGACTACTTTCAATATTTTTCCCTTCTTTACTCTAATAAAGTTGATAGACTACTTTCAATATTTTTCCTTCTTTCGTCTAATAAAGCTGATAGACTACTTTCAATATTTTTACCTTCTTTTCTCTAATAAAGCTGATAGACTACTTTCACTATTTTTCCCTTCTTTCCTCTATTAAAGCTGGTAGACTACTTTCAATAATTTTCTCCTTCTTTACTCTATTAAAGCTGATAGACTACTTTCACTATTTTTCCCTTCTTTCCTCTAATAAAGCTGATAGACTACTTTCACTATTTTTCCCTTCTTTCCTCTAATAAAGCTGATAGACTACTTTCACTATTTTTCCCTTCTTTCCTCTAATAAAGCTGATAGACTACTTTCACTATTTTTCCCTTCTTTCCTCTAATAAAGCTG